TAGCGGCCGCGCTTGCCGTAGTAGCTGCTGCTGTCGTTCTGGCTGCTGTCGTTGCCGTAGTAGCTGCTGCCGCTGTCGTAGCCCTTGTACTTTGCGCTCTTGCCACCGTAGTAGTCATCGTGCTTGCCACCGCTGTGGTAGTAGTCATCGCTCTTGCCACCGCCGTAGTCGTCGCCCTCACGCTCGTAGTAGCCATGGCGCTTGCATGGGCGCTTCTTCCGTTGTGGCTCCTCGTAGTCGCCGCCGTCGTAGTCGCGGCCCTTGCCGCCGTCGTAGGCGCCGCCGTAGTAGCCCATGCCGATGCCCTTGCCGCCGCTGCCCTTGCCACCGTCGTAGGCGCTGCCCTTGCCGCCGGCTTAGTAGCCCGTGCCGCTGCCCTTGCCGCCGTCGTAGGCGCTGTCCTTGCCGCCGTTGTAGTAGCCCATGTCGCTGCCCATGCCACCGTCGCACGCGCTGCCCTTGCCACCGTCGCAGAAGCCCACGTCGCCAGAATCGTCGTCGTCCTGAACGAAGTGCTGCAGGCCATGCATCTGATTCATGCTTGGGTCCAGCGCGGGCGCCATGTCGAACGTGTCGAGCAGCTGGTCCGCCGTGCACTGCCTCGCGCGCTTTGGCGGCCGAGCGGGCATCAACGGCCGCGGCCCGTAGCGTTTTGCATCCGGCGGCGCGGCAGGCAGCCGCGGCCCGAACTTCGATTTCGGCCGCAGCGGAGGCGGCGGCGAAGGCGCTGGCGGCGGCAACGGCGGCTGATCGGCAGCGCTGCTGTTGCCGCGGCGGCGGCGGTTGAGGTCCTCCGCCGCGTCCGGGAGGAGCGATGCAGCCGCCTCGTCCATGGCGCTGGTGCTGCCGCGCGTGGTGCGCTGCTGGTTGCGCTGGCGGGGCTGCGCGTGGTGCGCTAGCGGCACCGCGCTGCCGCGAAGGCCCAAAGCTTGGGCCTGAAAAGTGGCAACGGATGAGGATATGGAGGTGAGGCTGCTGATGATGGTCGATGCAGGCGCATGCAACATGCGTGCAATGCCATTTTTCTGCGCCATGCAACGACCCCATGCGGTGTACCACAACGCATGCTTGTTGCTATACTAGCTGCATGCACTCCTAATACAGATGTGAAGCAGTATGAGCGGCCGAAGACAGACGACGGGCGACGGACGCCGACGACGGACGCCGCCGACGACGACGACGACGGCGACGACGGAGGGGTTCACCGCCGTTTGTGCTCAATTCCGAGGCCCTGCAGGGCCGCGTCCCCTCGCGGCCCTCACATGGCCCCTCGGGGGCCATCCATATCCATTCATGCCATGGGTCTCGAGGTCACTCGAGGACCATGTCGGTGATGTTGCCGCCTTCGACGAAACGATCCTCGATGGCATGGCGAGGTCAGCGATTTCGGCGGCGCTCGCCGAGCTGAACGAGGAGCTTGGAATGAGAAAGGGGAACGGAGGGGATGAGAAGGGGTGGGTGGAGAGGGTTCATGGCAAATGCATGTTCGCGCGCATGGAAAATAAACGTGGGCCCCATAAGGAGCTGAAGCGCCAATGCCAGCGCGCAGACGGCGCAGAGCGCGAGACGAATAAGCTGAGGACAGCTTTAGAGATGCGCGACAAGGGCTACAAGGGCGATGACTCCTACCACGACGGTGGCAAGGGCAGCGGCCGCCAGGGCGGCGACGACGGCAGCGGCCACAAGGGCAGCAGCACGGGCTACTGCGGCGGCAGCGGTGGCAAGGGCAGCGACATTGGCTACTACGACGGTGGCAAGGGCAGTGACGACGGCTACTACGACGGCGGCAAGGGCTACTACGACGGTGGCAAGGGCAGCGAGGGCTACTACGACTATGGCAAGGGCAGCAATGGCTACTGCGACAGGGAAGGCCACCCAATCCTCGCCTCCGTCGTCTTTCGCCGCGTAGTCGACCCCAGGCAGGAGATCCTCAGCCCGCCGCTTACTCCGCGAATTTCCCTCCACTTTCTCCACGCCGCTCTGCGTTAGGAATGCACGGTGCCTGGCACTCGGGGGGCCGTGCTCCCCGGCGGGGCGCGACGCGAGGGCGAGCGCCCAGCGCGTCGTGCATTCGCGCGGGGAAAGATGCCGCTGGTCGCCCCGCTGCGGGCGAAGACCGCGCATCGTGGCCACATCTCTGATGGCCGCTTTCCGACGCCTCGTGGCTCGCGTTTCCATTTCTGCGAAGTGCGCTTTGCGCCTGCGCGCCGCCCCGTCGGCCCACCGTTCCACCGCGTCCACGTGCTCGCGCCCGTGAAAAGCGGTCGTTTGACACGTCTTGATCGACTCCGCCGAGGTCGCATCGTCCTCCCCGGCGTGCGCCCGCAGGCTCGCGCGCCCAACCTGCCCCCGGGCGATGCCCTTGCCGCGCGCGTCGCCCATGATTCGCGGCGCGATGCGCTTTCCGATGAGGTTCGTGCTCGCCCCGCGCAGCTGCTGGCCGAGCTCCTCGATGCCTTTGCAACGCTCGCGCACTTCGTGGAACGCCACGGGTTGCCTTTCCGTGCAATAACCGCACGCGTATCCAGGCTGGGCGTCCTGAGCCATCTAGACTACCTTGATGATCTCTGCGTCGTTACGTTCCTTCGAGCACTCCTTCCCGCGCGCGCGTCGTCCGCGATCGACAACCTGCGCGGCAGCTGCGCGTTAGACTAGCGCTGCGCGGCCAGCGCGCACGGGCGCGCCAAGTTCAGACTTCTCACGGTTCCTGGCCCCATGCAAGCTCCCGACGCCCAGAGACCCGGCGTCTTGATTTCTTTCAGTGCGGGGTGTCCGGTGGCCCCCCAAGGCCCCGACGACTTCTTCAAAGCCCTTTTTTCGTCCTGGGCAAATGTTTGACGGCCCCAGGGCCCGTTGAAGGCCACCAGGGGCCGAATATAGCAAAAACGAAATCTGCATTGACAAGATCGCGACGTCGGAAGTCTGGGATCGGCTTCCATCATCTCCCGGACCTGCTGCTTCCCCCTCTTCCTCCAGAGGAAGGCGAGGACGATGATGGGGGAGAGGCGAGCACGCCCTGGGATGGGCGACCGGGCCGCGGGTTGCTTTTGCATGGCTCGCGGGAGGGCGGCATGAGTCGGCCTGGGCTTACTCGGGCGCGGGGCGCTGGACAGGGCGCCCGCCGCATGAGCCAGGGCGCAGGGAGGGGTAGCGGTAGAGGGAAAGAGGACGAGGAAAGAGGAGGACGAAGAGGAGGGAGGAAGGACGAGGAAGTACGAGGAGTGGCAGGAGAACAAGGAGGAGAAGGACTCGAATGACGGGGAGGAGAAAGGAGGGCGAGGACGAGCGATAGGAAGGCGGAAGGGGGCGACCTCCTAGAGCGCCCCCGGCAGGGCTCAGGAGGTCGCGCCACGTCGCGCCACGCGCCCCACGATGCGCGGTTATCTTCGCGGCATCGCGCTGCCCGGTGGAACGAAGTAGCTATCCGCCCTGAACCGCGACGCGCGAAGCGCGATTGCCTTCGCGTCGCCGCGGGCGACACACAGGAAACTCCTGCGGTGAAAAATACGCCGACCCTTTCGTGTGTCATCGGCGTGTGAGATGCGTCTCCCCCCCAAAGACTTCCTGCACGCAAGAGAACAACCCCCCTGAGAGGCCAAGAAGACCAGAAGAAGAGCACAAGAGCGGAAGCCCCACAAAGAATTTCAACCTTTAGCCCCGAGCCTGAACCCCCACAAGGAAAGCTACCTCCGGAAAAACACATCCCACGAGACCCCATCGCCCATCAGGGTGGCCTCAGACCCACGAGCCGAGCACGATAACGGGATGGACCGAACGCGACAGATCGAAGGTCGGGGGGTGTGAACGGAAGTGGCCCCATCCCGACAACGCGCGCCCATCTCCCCCCACGATCACAGGGGAAACACTTGTTGTCCCTCTAGGGATAGCCACCACGCGCCGATGGACCTCAAACCTCCGTCGCGGCGCGCAGACGATGCACACTGCAAGAGCACCTCCAAAAATGCGAACGACTCCAGACCAATTCCCAGATCGCACCCAGACACCCAAACGCGCCTGACGACAACTCAAGGCCCCCAAAACGGCCCACGAGAAACTCGAAGAGAGCTTCTGCAAGAAACCTACGCGCAGGAGGCCCCACGACGTCAGCCAGCACGACGGCCCCAGAGATCCAAATGGGGTCGGCGGCAGAGGCGACAGCCTTATGATTGGTCGGAAGATTGGGGGAAGTGGACTGCAGTGGACTGACGTAGACTGGACTACAGACTAGAGTAGACTGGACTGGGGTGCACTATACTTCGCTCTACCCTACTTTATTATGCCCGACTCTTCTCTGCCTTCTACCCTACTCAACTCTACTGTACTCTGCTCTACTCTACCCCTACTCGACCCTACACTACACTATTATAATATGATCTATCCTACTCTACCGTACTCTACTCTGCTCTCCTCTACCCTGCTCAGATTCTACTCTCCTGTTCCTTGATGGTAGATGCTCCCCTACTCTGCCACCTAGCCGGCCGATAGCATCCAAATCTGGGTGGCCCCATCCTACGTGTCAAGAAAAACTATACACAACAATGTCCTTCGTCTCAACATGGAAATCATGTCTGTCATGTTGTGGTTCCAAGGGTCGCGTAAAGGAGGCTGGAGACGTACAGAGAGGGATCGGGGCTGAGGGAAGACGTGCCATCCCACACGTCCTTCTGCAGGGCTAGCCCGTGGCCCTGACTAGGGGAGAACAGGACGGGGACCATGGCCAAGACTGAACGCGGAAACGTCGTGCCGATGTTGGTCAGCGTCGATCTTGGTCAGCGTCAATTCGTGCATCATCCTCGCGAATCGCCACTGCCGACATGGACTCTGTCCAAGATCGGCATGGACCAAATCCGCGAGATCTTTGTCATGGCCCCCCGTGCTTACTCCCTCGACTGGCACCCCGAGGGGCTAGCCAACCCTGGACCCTACGGCCCTACGGCGGCAATCGAACCCAATGAGATAACTAACCCTGATCGATACTGCTGCCATCGCTGGCCAGCGACTCCTGGAGGCTCTCGGAGCGCATCATGGGCTGCGTCCTGTGTGCCTGCGGGAGGGGCGGAACCACGCGCTGTGGCGGTCCGATCGGGTGCCCCGGAGAAAGCCAAAGTAGCACAGGGCCAACTAGCTTCGCGCTGCGCGCCGCGCGAGGCGCGGCGAGCGCTTAGCTTTGCGCTCCCAGGCCGCGAGGCGCGGATGGCGATCATCTTCGCGCCCCCGCGGCAGAGGCTTCTTGGGAAGCCCTCCGCCCTCTGAAAGGCCTTCTTGTAAGCCTCCGAGCACTTCTAAGAGGCACCCTGCCTCACAACGCGCGGCCGCATGCGGCTGCAAGGCTCAAAGGCCTGGAACGGGACCCGGGGGCCCAACGGAGCGCGGGGCAGCCCGGGAGGAGTCGTGGGATTCCGGAAAGATCGCCCCGACCGAAGCACGGCAGGGCCTTGTCGTGACGACTTCGGCGTTGGTTTCTGACACCGTGCAAATCAAGAACAACCAACATCGAAGAGTGAAACCGGATCGGACCGGAACGTGCATCGAATCGGGTCGCATCGGCACTGAGTCGAACTCGAACCGGATCGGCTGCGCCAGGATGCGCAACAGCGCCGAGTGAACATTGGGCCCCATCGGATCGCCCGAAAATCGGAACCGAATCGAATCGGGCCAGCTGGAGCCGATGTCGAATCGGATCGATCGGATCGAAATGGACCCTGTAGATCGCTCAACCTTGAACGATCGCGGCTTCATCGTTCGCCATCGGCCGATTCTGGAGGCCGTGTCGTCAAGGGCCTGGAAGGTTTCCTCCCACCTCAAGGCATCCTGCGGCTCGGAGAATCGAGGCGCCAGGCCGTTCACCCTTCTCGACCTCTGGAGACTAGTTTCGGGGTCCTGGGACCATCAAACAAAACAGCCCAGGATGCGAAACTTGGGACTGCTTCACCAACACCCGAAGGCATGTGGCGATGGGCAGAGGACTATGCAGAACCATGGTGAGCCAGGCAGGATCAGCCAGCATCGAATCGGCAAATCGGGTCGAATAGAAATGTTTATCAGATCGGGCTGCATCGGCACGGCATCGGAATCGAATCGGAGGATCGGCTGCGATGGGCCCTGGCTAGGTCACCTACCTTCGCGCATCGCGCACCGCGACGCGCGACGCGTGATCACCCTCCCACCCTCTGGCCCTCATGCCGCCCCAATTGCAGAAGGCGGCCGCTGTGGCCCGGGCCGCGACGCGAGAAGCGCGGCTATCTTCGCGCCCCAGCAGGGGGCCTACATAGGGCAATGGGGTGTCAACACATTCCGAACCTCGTATCTACAGGAAGAAAGAACGGCATAACAGAAGCTTCCGGAGCTCCGCGCGGATTCCTTGAATCGGCGCTGCCTTCCCCCTTCCTGGCGCGCGGAGCGCGCCAGGCGCGGCGCCGGAAGCGCAGGTGTCAAACCAAACGGTTTTGGAAAAAACACATCAAATACCTTACAGCTCGCAGCTGCTACGGCATCAACTTCTTTTTTTTTCCTTGGACAGATTGGGAGAACTTGCGACGATGACGTATTGAGAGGAATCACATTCGTGCCCGGCTCGGTCCAATCAACTACCACCACATTGCGCAGCAGACCCGGGAGACCCAGGAACGAATGGGCGAAGTGCTTGAATGGTCGACTTGTGACCGGCTTCAGCACGGAAGGGCAATCATTGGAGTGCCTGCGCGACGCTACAAGATGGATAGATTTTTCGTTGAACATTACAAACCAGTGAAAGTTGGCGTGAGCCCCCCTTTGTGAGTGAGCCCCCCTGCCCGCTCTTCCCCGCCTCTCCTCTTTTCCTCTCGCACATGATGCAATTGAACAATCGGTGGGCGTGCCGCTGCTCCCGCCAAGCGGAGAGTACAGGCCGGCATCGTCTCTTTTCGCCCACGCGTTCCAGCGTTTTGCTTGACTGACTGCAAGGGGAGGCACAGGAGAGCCCGTGCCCCCCCCCACCCTCCCGGTGGAGCGCGCCTCGCCGCCAGGGCTGAGCTCCATGGCCACGCGGTCGCTCTGGTCCACTGCGCGGGCCCTGGCTCGGATGGCGCCCGCCCGCGGGGAGGGCCGCAGGCCCGGCCCTCAGGACGGGCCAAATCCAGACGGAGCAAGTCCATACGGAGACCGCACGCTCCGTATGGACATATTCCATGTGAGCGTAGCCTCCGCCAAGGCCCCGAGGGGCGAGCGTGGGCTCGTGCCCTCGGGCCGGGCCTGCGAGCCACAGCTCGCCGAGCCGGGGGCTCCGAGCGGGAAGTTCGGAGACGGGGACGGAGAGCACGATCGGGGACGCACTGGCCCAGGTCGACGCAAACAAGGGTCAGTCGGGCTCTGCAAGATCCTGAAAGACCCTGCAGGGCCCTGGAGGAATCCTGCACGCAAGCCCGGGTCATTGCACAACTGGCTCTTGAGGATCCTGCAAGATCTGGTGCTCTGGCTGACCCCCGTTTGCATTGACCTCCGTCTCTTGCAGCTCGACGCGAGCCCCAGCTCGCCGAGCCGGGGCTCGTGCTCACCGTCACCCTCTCCAGGTGGGGGGAGGCCATTTTCTAGGTTTGGGGCCTATTTGGAAGGACCGAAAACCATGCCGTGGCACGGCACTGGAAATAATGACGCCAGCGCTGCAGCGGGAGCACGATTCGGAACGACTGGATGCGCGGAAATGAGGCCAGCGCTGCAGCGGGAGCACGATTCGGAACGAGCGGTAGCCCGAAAATGTGGCCAACGCCTCAGCGAGAGCAGCATTTGGAAAACAACAAAAAAAATGAGCGCGGAAGCGCGGAAACGAGGACGCGTAGCCTGACATAACATGGCGCGGCGACGCCCCAAGGTTGGGGGGGGGGGGCTTCTGCGGCGCAAAAAATCAGCGAATCGACACCGAGTGTGTAATCACTTCCGATGGTTTTTTCAGGGGGGCATGTTCTAGATTTTAGGGCCTATTTGGAAGGATCGAAAACCATGCCGTGGCATGGCGATGGAAATAATGTCGCCAACGCTGCAGCGGGAGCACGATTCGGAACGAACGGAAGCGCGGAAATCAGGCCAGCGCTCCAGCGAAAGCAGCATTCCGAACAAAAACCCAAACGAAAACCCGTTTCTAGGAAATCCAATGTAAAAAAAAACCACACGCGGAGGCGGGCCGGCCAATTCCCGGACGCCACCACGGGATAGAGGGGAGTAGTATTCATATTGTCTAGTGGTGAAGGGGGAGGGGAGGCAGGGCGACCAGGCGGAGGAGGGGCAGAAGCGTCACACCCCCTCGCTCTGACCTCAGGGGGTTCCTTTGCCGCTTGCACTGCAGTTTCAACCAGCTCGAGGGCCTCACGCACGTGTACAACGAGACCAAGAAGGCGGCCAGCGCCCCGCTGGCGCACCGCATCCCTGAACGAAACACAGCGTGCAAATGTGAGAGGGGGAGAGGGCCCGAGGGCCAAAAGCAGACCGACTCGGTGCGAAATCGGATCGAAAAAACGGCACCACCACCTACAACAGCAACAACAACAAAACAAACCAACACAATAACAAAATAACAAACAACAACACAACAAACAAACAACAACTTAACAACACCAACAACACCAACAACAACAATCATTCCAAGACTGTTCGCTCCTACCGGCCCGCGTGTCGTTCAGTATGCATATCCCAAACCCTGGATACCATATCCGTCTTCGATCGTACCCCCCTCTAGGGGGTTATATATTCCTTCCTGGCCACGTGTAAGTGGAGAAGCCCCTAAACAGGAAAACGAAATGGAAAAAACAAAAAGAGAGGACGCAGGGATCGGAGGGAAGGATTAAAGGGACAAGAGGGAGGGACGACGATGATTTGTGCCGCGAGTTGCGATTCAGCTTGCGCCATGGGTTGCGCCAGCCAGTCCAACGCAGGTGAACAAAAGGCTTCGCCATGGGTCGCGCCATAAACAGCGCCATGTAACACCTCTGGTGCTGCTCGGCGAAGTGTTGGAGGCGAGTGCGGTGCACGATGCCATCTCCTAGAGCGATGCAGAGCCAAGGTGGGTGAGAGGAACCAGCAGGGGCCACGGGCTTTGTTGCTGCTGCATGACATGCGGCATTCACGGCGAGCGGGGAAACCGCAAAGTGGTAGCTGGCTCTGACGTTGCTCAGCGAGAAGCGGAGGCGAAACCGCAATCAGAGGCAGCGAACTCTGGCACTTGTCTGTGGGATGCGGCAATCGACACTGGGACCCAATTGCATTAGCAATAAGGTGGTGGTCGCCGCGTGCAGGATAACGGCCGATGGCATTGAACAGTGTTGTTGCCTAGCGGCCCCGTGGGAGGTGAAGTGGGAGCCCAATTTCATGAATCACAGCGCTGAGATTCGAACGTGCGGGAATCTTATGAGCTATATACAATAGCGGAGCACCATTGCCACAGCGCCGGGATCTGCGTGCGCGAGAAGGGCAAACCGCAGCAGCAGGCACTGGCGATGCTGCTTAGTGTGACATGGGAGGCAACGTTGAGAAAGACATGGGAGGTGAGTTGGAGCCCGCCGTCTCCAGCCACGACGTTGGGGTCAGAGGTTTGGCACTGTTCGGAACACGTGGGAGACGATACCCAAACCAAACGTCACCAGCTGCAGCGCTGGTACCGGCGCGTGCGCGGCAGGCTGGCTGTCCCAGTGGGCCCTGGGGCTGCCCAGCGGGATGTTGAGGGCGAAGTTGGAACCCGATGGGAACCTTGGAGAAGTCCTCAAATGTAGCGATTGTGTGCGTGTGTGATAAGAATTGGCAGCGCGCGTGAGGAGGGAGCTGGTGGTGGTTCTGGTGTTCGTCGGCATGATGTGGGCAGCGAAGCCAGAACCCAACGCTATTTCAGCTACGATGGTGGAGCACGGCATTCCCGCCTTGTGGGGGTTGGGCGCCCAGCTCCCGCTGCCGGGTGCCGCTCGTCGACCAGCCAGCCCCT